ATACATTCTCGAATTCTTTTCTAATAAGATTATTACGGTTTTACTGCCGAGAATTTTCAAATATGTCTAATTTATTAACTGGCAACATTATAACACAGAACACGAAGAATACTGTTAACTATATAGATTTTCGATAATAATTTATTACCGTACATTGAGAATGACCCAATCGGTGTCGAAATGTATGTGTAATTATTTTTATGTGTTAAATTAAAATTTTTTGTTACATTACTAGCTCTTAGCCCTTCATTTATTCTAAATTGTTTTATACTTATTAAATTTTAAAATCTGCATTATGCTTTAATTATTAAAAAGAAATAATACGAAAAATTTTATAGTTAGATGTACTTAATTCTAAGAGTTTGAATATTTGCGACTCCTTGTGCCCCGGTCTCTCCTATATGTAATGTGAATTACAGATTTTCAATACTAATAGTGATTATTGGAATGGAGTCTAAAATATAAAACGTAAAATATTTTTTTAGAAATAAAAAAAAGAAATTTAACATTTTATAATGTATTTATTGCATTTAGTAACTTTTTATTATAGATAATACAATATTAAATTGTAAATATATATTTGTATACTTAAACAAGCATTAAAAAAATTTTTGAATATTTCACTCATTTGTTATAACAACGATACAATTTGGGTAGATAGAAGTGCACTTCTAGAGACACAAAAGCGGAACATCTTTCAGCGCCAGCAATCGAAACATGATTCAATCCAACTCATCCAATAAAAATTAAAAAATAACGTTACAGAGAGGAAAAAGTAACGATTGTGTTAAAAAAAAAGTAATGAGAAAAATAACGACGGTATAAGTAACGCATGACATATGCGATTTTTCGACACTAACGCATCGGGACGTGTGCTCAATCGCTTCTCCAAGGACACCGTAGACGAGATATTACCCGCTTCGCTTATCGACAGCATTCAGAAAGGTCTATCACTTCTGGGCATTGTTGTCATAGTCGCCATATCAAATGTGTGGTTGCTGATATCTATCCCAGTAGCACATATTTATATACGTTTCCTAAACGCTTGTAGAACATTAGATACGGCTAAGAAACGTCTGTAGAACGTATATGATCCAATAGGTGCTACCTGGGTACAGTGCTTATTGGCATTGCCTTTTATTACATGAGAATCTTCTATCTGTCCACCAGTCGTAGTATTAAGCGTCTCGA